GAGGGTTGATGGGGGGTGGGAGGGAGGAGAGGGTGGGTGATGGGTATTGAGGAGGGCACCTTTTGGGATGAGCACTGGGTGTTGTATGGAAACCAATTTGACAATAAATTTCATATATAAATTAAAAAAAAGAAAAAAAAAAGAGTCTCATGCACTTAAAACAATTACTAGTGGGACACCTGGGTGGCTCAGTCAGTTAAGCATCCGACTTTGACTCAGGTCATGATCTTGCAGTCTGTCAGTTTGAGCCCCGTGTCAGGCTCTGTACTGACCGTTCAGAGCCAGGAGCCTGCTTCAGATTCTACATCTCCCTCTCTCTGCTCCTCTCCTGCTTGCATGCATGTGCACACTCTCTCTCTCTTGTGCACGCGCGCTCTCTCTCTCTCTCTCTCTCCCAAAGATAAATAAACATTGAAAAAAAAAGGAATTACTACTTTATGTTTTGGGGCACACAGTATATAAAGATGTACTTTTATGTCATAAGCAACCAAAAGAGGTGGGGACAGAGATATAAAGAAGCAGAGTTTTTGTATATAATTGAAGTTAAGCTAATACAAATTCAAAGTAGAGTGTTATAACTTTAGGATGTTAGGTGTAATGCCTAAGGTAAACACAAAGGAAAATGCTATGGAATATATACAAAAGGAAATGAGAAAGAAATTTAAACATCTAACTACAAAAAAAAAGAGTATGCGGGGGGCGCCTGGGTGACTCAGTTGGTTAAGCGTCCAACTTTGGCTCAGGTCATGATCTCACGGTTCGTGGGTTCGAGCCCCATGTCAGGCTCTGTGCAGACACGCTCAGTGGAGCCTGCTTCCGATTCTCTGTCTCCCTCTGTCTCTGCCCTCCCCTGCTCATGCTCTGTCTCACTCTGTCTCTCAAAAATAAATAAACATTAAAAAAAAATTTTTTTTTTAAATGGAGTATACAGGAAATGAGGGGTAAGAAGGAAGCTATAAGGCATATAGAAAATGGCAAAATGACATTGGCAAGTCCCTCTTTATCAGTTATTTTAACTCTAAAGACAGATTGGCAGAATGGATAAAAACACTTGATCTAACTAAGAGATCTAAGAGACTCCCTTTAGGTCCAAAGACACAAATGAATTGAAAGTGACTAGATGCAAAAATACAGTCCATGAAAATAGCAAGCAAAAGAGAGTAGGTAGGGGTAGTTATGTTAATATTAGATAAAATAAGACTTTAGATCCAAAAAATTTTCTAGATACAAAAGTTCAATACAGTAAGAAGATATAATAATTATAAACCTGATTGTATAAACCTAATAATTACTTACCTGATAACAGACCATCAAGTAATAGTTGGAAACTTTAACACTCCACTCTCAATAATGGATACAGCAACCAGGCAAGAGTTAAGTAAGGAAATAGAGAACTTAAACACAAAAAAACAACTAGATCTAACAGACATACAAAGAGCATTCTACCTACACATCTGGTCACTTGTGAACAGTGTATACATTCTTCTTGTGCACATGGGACATATTCTTGGATAGACCATATCCAAGGCCAAAGTTCAATCTCAGTAGATTTTAAAGGGTAGATATGAGCCAACATTGTACTGGGAGTTCTACCTGGAGCTGTTAGGCAAGAAAAAGATATAAAAGGCATCCAAATTGGGAGAGGAAGTAGTAAAATTCTGTTTACAGATAATATGCTTTCCCCCTAATACTATAACTAGAAAGGAAAAAATAGTAATTTAACATTGAAGAAACCTGGCAGACACCACCTTACAAGTGATGGAAGTAAGCATCACCAGTACTGTGTCAACACATGGACCTCAGGTTCCCTCTTACATGATGCATTGAGAAGGACACAGCATCACTTTCCTAGTACTCCTTCCCCAAATGTATCTTGTGAATTTGGGGATGAGGAAGTAGCAGGCAAAGCCAAATTGAGGGACATTTTACAAAATAACTGATCTTCAAAATGACCATCAGAAACTGATCTTCAAAAATGTCAAAGTCATGAAAGAGAAAAAAGACTGAGGCTCTGCTCCAGATTTAAAAAGATGAAAGAGACGTGACAACTAAATGCAACATTTGATTCTGGACTAGAAGAGGAAATGTTTTCTTTTTTCTTTCTTTTTTTTTTTTTTTTCTGTAAACTATGTTAGTAGGACAATTGGTGAAATTTGAATAAACTCTATAGATTACATAATCTTACTGTCTTATTAATTGCCTGATTTTGATAATTCTTTTTTTTTTCCAAGGGCTTTTGAAGCAACTTTCAGACATTTCAAGTGTTCTTAAACACTCTACTACATATATTACAGAATAGGATCACTTTTATATAGATTTGATGATTCTACTGTGGCTATTTATGTAAGAAAATATCCTTGTTTTTAGGAAAAAGACACTAAATTAGTTATTTTGGGATGAAGTATCGTGAACAACTCATTCTCAAATAGTTTGGGAAAAAATAACAGTATATACAGAGAAAGAGATAAAGGTTTAAAAAACATGCAGAGAGAGATTTATATAAAAACATAAGAATAATATGGAGAAAACTTAGAATTTTATTATTTTTTGCAACTGTTCTGATGAAATTGTCAAAAGGAAAATGCTGCTGAAGTTATGAAAAAAGAATGAGATGGAGCACCTGGTGGTAGTCTATGGTTAAGGTGTTGACTTAGCCCAGGTCATGATCTGAATTCTTGAGTTCAACTCTCCCCATATCAGGGGTTTCCTTCTGTGTGCTGACAGCTCAGAGCCTGGAGCCTGCTTCAGATTCTGTGTCTCCTCCTCTCTCTGCCCCTCTGCCTCTCATGCTGTCTCTCTTGTTCTGCCGTACAATAAATAAATATTTTTTAAAAATTAAAAAAAAAAAAATGAGATAAATGTGTATTTTTTCTCATGGAAAAGTATCTCCAGTATGATTGTCCAGGTACAAAAGCAAGATTAAAAAGTAGGATGTGTAGTCTACTTCCATTTTTATAAAACATAGATAGACATGGATGCATACATTTCGGCGTAGAAACAATCTGTTACTGGTACTTACCTTTGGGAGTTGAAAACTATAAATTTTCATGTTTTAACTCTTACAATAACAAGTATATATTTGTAATCAGAAAAAAATTAAAAATTTTGTTCAAAAGCTAATTTGCCAAATTGTGACTAAAATGCTGACCAGTTTTTTTGATGTGATTACAGCACAGCCCTCAACTCAGTAGTCCCATTGTTTCACCAGCTCAGTCGCCAGCACCAGCGCAGCTGACCACCCTGAAAACTGTCCGTCCTTCTGGACCACCCCTTTCCATCATACCTCAGTTTTCTAGACCTTTTGTTCCAGGGCAAGGTAAGTGCTTGAAACTAGTCACAGCCTCAGAGTTGTAGGACATCCCTTCCCCTGGATGATGTATGGAATTGTCGAATCACTGTATTATACACCTGACACTGATGTAACACTGTATGTTAACTATACTGGAATTAATTTTTTTTTTTTAATTAAAAATAAGACATCCCTTCTCAATCACTTTGTGATTTCCCTTGGTACTGCTTTCAGTTCTCCACAGGACTGCATTTTGACCTCCACCCAGGCATATTTATTACCATATATTCTCCTAACCTTAATGTTTCATCACTAGTTAATAATTACTAACTTAGTAATTCCTTCCATTCAGTAATTCTTTATGTGTTATAGTTAAAGTGACCTTAACTTATTATCCTTAGACTCCATTTCTCTGTAGTAGTAATATGCAATGCTATGAACTTGTTCTTTATTTCTAATACCTATATTACAGTAGCATATATCAAGAGTTTATTCAAAAATGTATTCAACAGTTTTTGAGGCCTTATTGTGACCCTTACATACAAAAACGAGTAAGGTGAAGTCCTCTTCCTCACCGACCCTCGGTCTAATTGGAGGAACAGACCGCAAATGGATGATTATAGAATAATATTTTTGGAATTTATCCTAAGCATAATGCACACAATGATTTATCCACAGAAGAGTTTGGTCTATAGCAGAAAAAATGCAAAACAACCTAAATGTCTTATCAGTAAGGATTAGAGTATATCTATATAGGGAATACTAAGTAGTTATCCAAAAAATGTGTTTTAAAGAATCATTGAAAGAAGAAATACAGTACAGTGAATGATTTTTAAAAACATGTTACACGAAGAGGAGTGGTGGTAGATACACACTTCAAGTTATGGAATGAGTAAGTCACAGGCATGGGGAGTATAATATAGGGAATATATTCAATGGGATTATAATGGCATTGTATGGTGACAGATGGTAGGTACACTTGTGGTGAGCATAGCATAACATCTAACTTGTCCAGTCACTGTGTTGTACACCTGAAACTAATGTAACATTGTATATCAACTGTACTTCCATCTATTTATTTTGCAGGAGAGTGCAAGAGAGGGGGTTACTGGAGAGATGTCTAGTAAGCCTTTGAAAAGGTGCTCAACATCATCCATTAATTATTAGGGAAAGGAATATTAAAATCTGAATGAAATATCACTTTGACCCCACTAGAATGGCTATAATCAAAAAGATTAACACCACTGAATGTAGGTGAAATTACAGAATTCTTGCACATTGGTATGGAGGAGTAAAATGATAAAACCATTTTGGAAAAAAGATTTGAGTTTCTTACAAAATTAATCACTTACCTTGCAATGCAGCAATTCCACTCCTAGGTATTTCCCCAAGAGAAATGAAAACATATTTATGTAGACTTGTACAGCAAATTATATAACAACTTTATTTTATTATAATCACCCAAACTGGACATAACCCAAATGTCCACCAACAAGAGACTAGATATACAGATTGTAATGGATCCTTACAATGGAATACTATTGAACAACATGAATGAACAAGGCAGACTGATCTGAAACAACATGGATTAATTTCAGAGTCATTATGTTAAGCAAAAAACAAGCCAGACACAAAGGCATACTATATTATTCTAATTAAATGAAATCCAGTTATAGGCTAACTAAAGTATGATGTTAGAAATCACATAGTCATGTGGATGGGATATGGACTTGACTGGTAAGGAGCTTGAGGGCACTTTTCAAGGGATGGAAATGTTCATTGTCTTTTTGGGTTTTGATTACATGAACTTTACAATTGTTGGAATTCATCAAACACTAAAGATGTGCATTTTATTTTATATAAATTATATCTAAATTTTTTTAAATATTTATAAAACACACAGAACAAAGACTGAAAAGATACACACCAAAATGTTAGAAGTGATGGAATTACTAGAATGGTTTTTATTTTCCCTTTTGTAATTGTTTCCAGGTTTTCTACAAAGCCACGTACTTTAATAATCTAGAAAAATAAAACATAAAAAGTGAATTGAAAGGGCGACTGGGTGGCTCAGTTGGTTAATCGTTTGACTTCAGCTCAGGTCGTTATCTCACGGATCCTGAGTTAAAGCCCCACATCGGTTCTGTGCTGACAGCTCAGAGCCTGGAGCCTGCTTCCAATTCTGTGTCTCCCTCTCTCTCTGCCCCTCCCCCACACACACTCTGTTTCTCTCTCTCTCTCTTTCTCTCAAAAATAAATAAACATTTGAAAAAATTTTTTTAAGTTCATTGAAATAGTGTGTGGCAATAGTGTGATACTGGGATGCCTGTTCTAGGAGGAACATACAGCATGGCCTATATGGAGGAGTCTGATTATTGCTGTCTACAGCTCATCTCTATATAAGAATACTGCTCCACCAGCCTAAACTTAACTCTGACTTTCTTGCAGCTGTTCTTTATACATCTTCGTGCTTTGCATTGTATCTCTGATCTCAGTGCTAAGCCTCCATGCCATATCTGCCCTTCACATGGTGCTTGGGAAGGAGCAAGTCTGTCATGGGTGTGTCCTGCAGGGAGCTGCCCTCACACCTTCACACTGTTCGTCAGATTAGAGCTCTGTGGAGTAGGGAGAAGTCCACAATGTGCTTTTCTCTGTTATCAAGCTTTCAGGAGAAGGGATGTATGATTCCCTGAAGTGCTTTCCTGGCTCCTGTGCATAATCCCCCTCCAAACCCAGAATGTGCTGAATTGGGGAACTTATGGGTAAAATAAAATGAGGATATTAACAAATGAAAACATTATTCTCCAGGAGAATGTCTTTGCAGTCAGCATTTATTAAGCCCTTTAAAGAGTGTTTAAGAGCAGATCCAAGACCTGAAATGTAAATATACCCTTTGGTTAACACCGTAAAAATGTTTGTAATGGGTGCCTGGCTGGCTCAGTCAAAAGAGCATGCAACTCTTGATCTCAGGGTCATGAGATTACAATGGGTGTAGAGAAAAGTTTGCAATGAGAATATATAAATGTATATATGCATATATTTGTAGTAATTAATAGTGATTTGGGGAGGGGTGCCTAGCTGGCTCAGTCAGTAGAGCGTGTGAGTCTTGATGTCGGAGTTGTGGGTTCCAGCCCCACAATGAGTGCAGAGATTACTTAAAAAATTAAAAATCTTTAAAAAAAAAAAAATAGTGACTTTGGGAAGATAAACTTAATGTTTTTCCTTCTCCTCAAATGTAAGTCATTAATTTTTAATCATCATAGAAAACGTGGATTTTAGCATCTCACATGGGTGGAAATGGGTATTACAGTTCTTCTGGAATGTTAAGGTATAAATAGGTTAAGGTAAATGAAGCTTCCCTCCTTCCTATCCCCCGTCTTCCCAGTTCCTACCTCCTACTTTCTTCATAACCACTGTTATTAGTCCTTACTCCTTTCAGAAGTTTACCCTTCCTCTTGAAAGGGAAGATGGAAACTTAAATTCTTTTTTAAAATGTCAGTACCTACACTTTTTTAATCTACCAAATGTGTTTTCCCTACTCATGTTAACTATTTTGGACAATTTAGAAAACTTAGGGAAGTACTTTTAGAACTGAGCAGAAAACAATGTAAAAGTTTTTTTAATTGACTTTCAGGAGATGCCAGATATCCATTACTTGGCCAGCCTCTGCAGTACAACCCTCCTGCTGTTCTGCACGGACACATTCCAACCCAACAGGTATGAAAGCAGTCTCGTGGCCTAGGCTTTGTTGGCAGGATGTCATAGCTCCTTTGCACAGAGTATGGGGGGTTCTGGGCCCACCTGCTGGCAGTTCACAAGAAGTCCTCTGTACCACAGCCAGCTGACTTATCGATGTTGTCCCATTGAGTCTGGCCACACAGAGAGCAGACAAGGAAGAAGGTGGTTTGCTGTTTGGCTAAGCGATCAGTGCTATCCCAAAGTGGGAGGGGCGGGGGGGGCTGGGGCCACAAGCTGGGGCCTTGCTTATGAAAGACAGCAAATGACTCGTTATAGGGAGGAACAGAAGTGCCATTGCCACCCGGTCTTTGGATTGGATTTTTTTCTGCTAAAGTATAGAGCCCAGACTGGGTATGTTTAAGGGTTAAGTGTTTAAACATTACAGACCTATTTTTCAGCACTGTTAACCTTATTTCTCATCTGTTTGTGGGTTTTCAGGGTCAGTCTGGCAACAGGCATGGAAATCGAGGAAGGAAACAAGCTAAAAAAGCTGCATCCACTGACCTTGGTGCAGGAGAGCCAGGTGTGTCCCTGAGAGGCAATTAGATGTGGTTCTACAAACTGTCAACCAGTTCAACACTCTTTAGACAAAAATGGGTTTTCCTCTCCTAAAGTCCTGCACATTACAGGAAATTATGTCATCTGTAATGTAGGGCTCTTAAGTATATTCTTGTAATTGTCTCATTTCACAGTGCAGCTATAGGTGGATTTAGTAGGGATGAAGGGACCAAAGGGAAAAGTTATGTGTGAAAGGAACAGATAGAATGATATTCTTTGCCTGTGTGTTTTTGGAAAAAGGAAGTAGTCCTTACACCCATGCAGAGATAGTCTGATGAACAAAAACTGCCTTTCTGTGGCAGAGTGCTTTCAATATGTACTCAACAGCCTTGGGTCATTACGACAAGGGCTGTTATCTTTATTTTACAGTGGGGCCATGAAGTTCAGGAGACCGCTCAAGATAACACACCTAACTTAGAGAAGCCACTATACAATGGTGTGTTTTCTATGCATAGCTTTCAGTGAAGACCGAGATGGGTAGTTTAGTACCATTAGCTCTGCACCCCTTGCCTAAGGGGTAAGTAGGAATGATTTTTTAAATGGCCATAATTACAGTTTTGTGGGTTTGAATGGTTTTACAAAATCCCGTTCATTTCTTATGTCATATTTGGGTCTTCGGTACTTTCTGCCCACCATTTTGGTAACAGGGATTATTAATTCTATACCTTTTCCATTCTAGTTGTTGGGAAGGTCTTGGAAATTACTGAACTCCCTGATGGAATAACTCGCATGGAAGCCGAGAAGCTTTTTGGGGAACTCTTTAAAATTGGTGCCAAGATCCGGTGGCTCCGAGACCCTCAATCCCAGCCCCAGCTGCGTCGTCACCCCCTCTGCTGTGGCAGCGGGGACAACACTGTCAATCCTGAACGCTCTAAACCCAGTGACTTGGCCTCCACTTACACCGTTTTAGCCACATTCCCCTCCATTTCAGCTGCACAGAATGCATTGAAGAAACAAATTAACTCAGTTAACAAGTTTAAGCTGAGAACGAGCAAGAAGCACTATGACTTCCACATTCTGGAAAGGGCGAGTTCTCAGTAACAGAGCCACCTTGGACCCTTGGCCTTTATGATTCCCCTGTCCTCACCCATCTTTAATTGGCTTGGTTTTTGGAGCTTCTGTTAACATGATAGAGACTCCTAGGACGTGTGGTCATGGCGTTATAGCTTTTGAAGACAGGCCAGTGATCCAGCAAAGGGGGGAAATTACACATTTCACTCCAAATGACTGTAGGAATCCACATCGGAATGATACAGAGTTAGCAGCTTTTTCCGAGGAAATGCTGTTCAAATGCCTCCTAACTTTTATAGTTATTTTGTTTTATATTTCTGAATTCTTGTATCAGATCCAGAGCTCTATTGTACAGCAAATTATTCTTCAAAATGATTACAACCAGTTGCAACCTGTATTTCTTTTTTGCAGCCAGCACAATGTGACCCAACAGAGAATTTGGGGGAAAAAGAATGCAGGAATGGAATAACCAAGTCAAAACCATGTACTATCTTCTTGGGGGGCTGGACGGTGACTGAGGAGAGCCCACAAATAGACCATTACTCTTTCCCTGTATCTCTAAACACAGAAACAATTTGCAAAAAATACAGAACTCCCTCATAGGGTCCTTTCCTTATTCATTTAGGTAGTATGAACATTAAGTGTAAAGCAAATTATGTTCTTAACACTTTTTAATCAAACCACTTAGATTCAAGGGGGAATAGGAATCATTTTAGGCAGGAAAATACTTCCACTTTTTTTTTAAGTGTCCCTCTGATAACTAAATGCCACTTATTTGCATTCCCCTCGTGAATATTTTGTCACCTAAGGAAATGCATTTGATGAGTGCTGGAAACTTCTTAAGTGGTTTAAAATCTGTTTTCATTGTTTGCAGCGGATCACTGGACATCAAAGATTCATTGCACTTATGAACAAGGAACCTTTTTTTCATTTTCTGTGTAATTTGCAAGGCTGTACAATGTGTGCTGATGCAAGCCTTTTTCAGTTCAAGAGAATAAATGTTTACAAATACAGACCCATTTTGTCTTTTGTAAATTAAAAACACCTTTTTCAATGAGTATTAGTATGGAAGACCTCCCCCATCTTGAAGACTTCTATTTTAGATTTTAGACAGAAGACAGTAATCCTAATCATTTTACAAAAGTCCTACAAAGCATTGCTTTCTCTGTGGGAGTGATGCCTGTGGGTATGACTCCCGTCATTTTGTTCTCTCATAAAGTTAATACCAGTCAATGAAAGATAGTCTTTAGTATGAATACACTTACAGTCAGGCAGCTAAAAATCAAACATTATGTTTGGTTAGATAAAGAATTTGTGGTTTTAGCCAACATATTGAGCACCCAGTTGTCCAGTTTACCTCAAATGCTTTATAGAAAACTTTTCCCGTTTGCTAGCCAAGCAAAGTCAAACTGTTTGTGAAACCCAAAAGGTGGGAATGTCTGCCGTCTGCAACTTGGCTAGAACCCGGTTTGCTTCCAGCCTAGACTACAGGTTTACTTGGCAACTCAAGAGCAACAGGTGTTACCAGACTGGTGCAGATGTTCACTCGCTCTAAAGCTTCTGCAAAGTCCCCCTTGGTCTCAGGGCACCCGAGGCCTCCCTACAAGCTGGTACATCCTGATGTTGAATATTGTACTCCTGAGAAAAGTTGGAGCTGCCTTTGAACCATGTCAGATTCAGGAGCCATACCAGAGGGAAAAGTAAGAGTGAGAACTGTGAAAGTCCCTCACTTCCAAGGCCTGTCAAATTTTTATTATTTTTGACTGTAGAGAGTCAAAGAAGGATAGAATACACAATTAGGGCCAGAATAGCAAGAATTGTTAATCATACATGGAGATGGAGATTTTAAAAACACCGTCTACTCGTTCTCTATTTTAAACTCCTGCAGTAGGCCTCCTGGTAAACCTAAGTGTTTTTTGGGTTTTTTTTTTTTTTGTTTACAAAAATAAAAATTGACCTAATTGACAAAGCATATTAGTTTCAGGTGTACAACATAATGATTTGATACTTGTATGTACTGCAAAATGACTAGCTAATATCCATCACCTCATATAGTTACCAATTTTGTGTGTGTGAGGAGACTTAAAATTTTTTTTTATTTATTACATTTATTTATTTTTGAGAGACAGACCACAAATGGGGAGGGACAGAGAGAGAAGGAGACAGAATCCAAAGCAGGCTCCAGGCTCTGAGCTGTCAGCACAGAGCCCTACGCGGGGCTTGAACTCACAAACCGTGAGATCATAACATGAGCCGAAGTTGGACGCTCAACCAACTGAGCCACCCAGACGCCCCTGAGAACTTTTTTTTTTTTAACGTTTATTTATTTTTGAGACAGAGACAGAGCATGAACGAGGGAGGGTCAGAGAGAGAGGGAGACACAGAATCTGAAACAGGCTCCAGGCTTTGAGCAGTCAGCCCAGAGCCCGACGTGGGGCTCGAACTCACGGACGGCGAGATGGTGACCTGAGCCGAAATCAGGCGCTTAACCGACTGAGCCACCCAGGCTCCCCGAGAACTTTTAAAATCTACTCTGTTAGCAACTTCCAAATACACAATACAGTGTTACTAACTGTAGTCACCATGCTGTACATTAAAACCTGTGTTCACTTTCGACCCTGGATTTACCCTGCCCAGAGAAAATAGGTAAGAAACCAGAGCAAGGCTATTGTGAAGTTAGATCCCACCCACCCCACCACCACCCCCGCAATTCCCCGACAATCCCATGGGAATACTAAGAAATTGCCAACCCCCCCACTTTATAAAAATATGCTCACATTCCCTAGGGTATATTCTATTTTTGATCCTCTAGAATCTGATTTCACCTACAGAAAAATGGAGGAAGAACCACACACAGGAAGCATGTAAGATGTGATTTGGCCCAGACTTTTAACCTTCATAAAGACAGCTTCAAATGATCCACAGCCTTGGCTGTGGATTTTCCATAAGTACTGACTGTATTTAGGGACAGGGTGGTACTTTTGCCATTAAAACTATTGCTATTCTTGCAGTGCCTGGGTGGCCCAATCGGTTAAACGTCCAACTTCAGCTCAGGTCATGATCTCGCGGTTTGTGGAATTGAGCCCCATGTCAGGCTCTGCTGTCAGTGCAGAGCCTGCTTCAGATCCTCTGTCTCCGTCTCTCTCTGCCCCTTCCCTATTTGAGCTCTGTCTCTCAAAAATAAACAAACGTTTTAAAAAATGAATAAAATAAAATGGGCTATTCTTACCTATGCCAATAATAGCTCCAGCAGCCCTTTCTTTGGGAATGATAGAGGTCACTATAACTTTTTGTCCACTTTTGCTACTTTATGTATTAGAAGACTGAGAATATGGCTTAATATTTTTAAGCCCTTGGTCCATGAAGAACATGGATCTATTGGGAATATGTTTGTGAATCTAGAGCACAAAGTGTGTTTGCCATGATGCCAGCAGTAATTAATAATTAACTTGTCATCTGAGCTGACAACAAAATAGGCATCTGAATCCTCACCCAGGCTAAGCCATTGTTTTTCTGATCCCACCAGGGAGTGATCTGTGACCTGTGAATAGTGTGGGAACACAGGTCTCAGTAGAACCCATAGTGCCAGAGTGGCTTGAGAAGAATCAAAGCCAGTACATCCACAGCTACCCCAGGAGGTAGCAAAAGTTGGGTTCTGCATGTGTCCTCATCAACAGGAAAAATGTAAGTGTAAGACTTCAGCAAAGGCCAGCCCCAGGACCTTTGTGAAGGCGACCGGATCCCCTATTCGCCTACTACTTGCTGAGCATCATGAGATGTGATAGTATAGTCCCCTAAGCAGAAAGCACAGACTTCCGTATCCTGCTAGTGTCCAGTGTGGTGGTAGCATGAAGGTGTTCTATGCTGGTATGATTCAAAGCTAGCCTCGTGTTGCTTGAAATTCTAGAAGCCTTGAGTTGATGCTAAAAGAAAACCAGGCATTCACATGCACACATTCAGCCTGTAGGCCTTTACCAGCCTGGAAACAGGCAGGTATGGCTGCCCTTTAATCTACCCCATGCCTATATATGCTCAGGCTGCATATTGCATACTAGTTCTTTTCCCCCTTAGTGTCTACACTTGGATTCATTTTGATTTGATTTTACCAGCCTAAGAATGTTGGAAGTGTGTAAGAAAAAGACAGTAGGAACTTCTAAATCAGAAACCCGAAAACTGATAAAAGTTGATTCTTTGCCAGGGAAGGGGGAAGCAATGAAATAGATAAATCATTGGGGCGCCAGGGTGGCCCAGTCGGTTAAGTGGCTGACTCTTGACTTCAACTCCGATCATAATCTCACAGTTCGTGAGTATGAGCCCTGCATTGGGCTCTGGAATCACAGCACAGAGCCTGCTTCAAATCCTTGGACTCCCTCTCTGCCCCTCCCTCACTTGTGCTCACTTGCTCTCTCTCTCTCAGAAGTAAATGTTTAAAAAAAAAAAAAGAAAAGAAAAAGGAAAGGAAGAAAAAAAGGAAGGAGAAAGAAAGGACAGAAAGAAATAGATAAGTCATTAGCTACATAATCTCCCCTCAAAAAACCCTGGCCTGTTTCAGGTATCTCTTGCTGTTTAACACACCACCCAGAATTGAGTGTTTTATTATTTTTTTTTAATGTTTATTGATTTTTGAGAGAGAGAGAAACGGGGGTGGGGGGAGGGGCAGAGAGCAAGGAAGACACAGAATCCAAAACAGCCTCCAGGTTCCAAGCTGTCAGCACAGAGCCAGACACAGGGCTCAAACTCACAAACTGTGAGATCATGACCTGAGCCAAAGTCAGACACTTGACTAACTGAGCCACCCAGACGCCCCTGGAATTGAGTGCTTTAAAGGAATAATCCCATGGGTTAGGAATTTGGGCAGGCCTCCAAAAGGATGGCTTGGCTCCCCTCTACCTGAAATTAGCTGCCCTCAGCTCAGGGTGGGCTGGGCTAGAAGTTCCAAAATGGCTTCATTCACATCGGGGGTCCCAGGGCTGACATCCCCCACACCCCCAGCTATGATACCTCAATTTTCTTTTTTTCTTTTTTCTTCC